TTCTGCTTCGGGCCCCTCTGAGCTGGTATCCTCCACGCCCCATCTCTCAAACACCCAACTGGAACTTGCAAGTATCGTCCATTTGGCATTCAAAGAGGTGAGAGGCTACGTGACTTTCTTGCCACTGTGGAAGGCAGTTAAAATGCTGATGGGAGTAAAACTTGCGTTCTGGGAACTGACCTCTTTGTAATTCACATAATCGGTGGACAACGTTCTAAGCTTCCCTGTCGGCTTCTCATTCTCAATCACTTCCCCTCTCTCAGTAAGAACCCGCTTCATTAACGAAGCCAGTTGTGCGATACCACTCGTGAGCGAGGAAGAAAGAGGCTGGTTCTTTATTGTACATGGGTCACAGTAGAGGTCTGTCCTAGCTGGTCAGCCATTGGAAGGTACTTTGGTGATGAGGTGCACTAGAATCTCCATTTAGCACGATTATCCAGTTCCTCTTGGGCTCCTAACTGCTCTGGGGCGGGGGCTGGATGGCTCCTTGATGAAAGCAGAGGACCAGGAGTGAGGAGACCTGAATACTGTTCCCAGCTCTCTCGTAGATTCATTTTGTGATCCTGGGAAAATAACTTGAACTTCTTCATGCGTCAGTTGACCTCTCTGTAAAATGGGCCTGGTTGTGAGGCTCGGCTCATTCATGCTTGTTAAGCATTTGGAGCCAAGGCACCCAAAAGTGCCAGAGCTCTAATCTGTCCACCTCACTCTGCGGTGTAGCCAGGCCCTTAACAAGGCTGCTTGGGTAGGGTGGCTTGCATTTTACAGTCCTGTCCTGCAATCTTGAACAAGCGGCGGAGGGATGGTGTAAGCCCGGAATGAATGTTGCTAGCTCACCATTCTGGACACATTCCAAGGTCCCTCTTCCACCAAGGTTTCAACAGATTTCATTGGCTCTGACGAGCCTTAGATATGCATGTGGTCACCCGTGGTGCATTAGGAAACTGACAGATGCTGCTGTACTTTGTGGTTTGAAAATTACGGTAATAACTTTCCTTTCAGGCCCCACTGTCAGTTTCCGATTTCAAAATCAAGGGGCGGAAGGGAGGGAATTCTGCTGTTCTGGGAGAGCCGGTGACAGGTGGGTCTAGGGGCACCAGGCGCGTCCTAACCTTGCGCCGTCCAACGCTAGGCTGACGTCAGCCTTTCTTCAGACAGTCTAGCTGTGTTCTGGAACAAGCGGGCAGGCAGGATTGTTGTGTCCTGTGGCAATGTGTTGGGTGATACATGAGTCACTGGCTTCTTAGTCACTGCCTGCCTTCTGGGGCTCGCCGTGAGTCACGAGTGAACTGCCCCGCACATCTAAGGAGGAGCCCACGTCTCTGTTCACTTCGGACACTCTTCTTCCGACGCTGCTCTAGCAGAGTCAGCCAGTGGGGTGACGGTAGGAACCCAGCACAGTCCCTGGCAGAACCGGGCGCCGACAAGCTGAAGGAGTTTGTCACTTCCCAGTAAAACAGAGAGCTGACACCTGCCAGGCCTGCGGCTCATGCCCTGCGTGCCACGTTTGCCTGGAGGGGCCCACATGGATTCTCTGACGTGTGGATGAGGTAGGACTAAGCAGGGAGGAGGAAGCTAAGGCCCGGGGGCTGGATACGGCCCCTGACAGTCAGGGCTCCCCCCTCCCAGCACTGGGCAACCCACGCTGGTGCTCCAGCTCCACGCTGCCTCCCCGTGGGGCCGGAGCACAAAAATCTGCTAGCCTGCTGTGTCCAGGCTCTGCTGTTCGAGGGGAATGGGGGGAGAGTCTTTCACCTTCTCAGTCGGGGGCCACCTCAGTGTGGGTTTTGGCTCCTGACTGATTTCTCTGGGGGTTAGCGGCCCCTGACCCCAGAAAGGGTTCCCCGTCCCTAGAACAAAGGCGTGGTTCTCTGACGTGCCGTGTTCGTTTTGCCCTGGTTAGGAGCCCAAGGCACTGGATGCCGTGTCGTAGGATGAGGTGGGCCCATGGATCGCTAGGCCCGCTCTGCCTTGCCTGATACCGACGCGAGGGATGGGCAGGGAGGCATAGGGCGGAGCACAGCTCTGTTACACCGGGCTCTCCATGGAGTTGGAAGTGCCCAAGCTCTGCTTGGATTCATTGGAGAATCAAGCCAGAAGGGACGCTGAGAGGCATCCCCTCCCCCCTCCAGGCAGGCTCAACCCCCGAAGACTCTTTTAGGCTCTCAGTGTGCACAGCGAGTGAGTCGAATGTGGGGCAGCCAAGGGCACTGGCTCCACCTTCCTCACAGGGCAGAGAGAGGGGTCAGATTTATTTTAATCAAGGCAAAGAAGCTCTTGGCGACCCCAGCGAGGCCTCTGGCTAGTGAGGGGAAGCTGCCTAACCCACAGCAACGCCTGGGTGTCCAGCTCTGATTGCAGGGAAGTGGCCTTAGCTCAGGAGTCTCTTGATTGTTTGCAGTAGGAAGCGGCACATGGCCCCTGCCCTCATGCTTAGCAGAAAGGCCCATTTTCTTCCCTCCAGCATGTCACCTGCTCCTGCCTTGAATGGGTTGCCTCAGGGGCGTTCCCCGCTCTGGCATTCGAGTGCAGACGATGGGGACCCACAAGAGGCTTACAAAATATCTTTCTTCTAGAGGCTTTTGCTTACAAATTCCCCAAGGTCACAGATTCCCTGACCTGGGGTGTTACGTGGCCACCTCCCAAGTGCACAACCCAGGTAGAGTCACTTGGGAACTTCTTTCCGTGGGGCAGCCCGAGCTCTTTTACCCTCCCTAAGGAGAGAGCTTGGAAACAAAATGCAGTAGCTGACCCTCCGTCCCAGGCATGTGCACACAGACTTGCCTGCTTTGTAGGACGCAGGAATCAGATCATAGCCTTTAAAAGGGTGATTTTATTATCAAAAACAAAAAAGACATCCTTGGTAAAGCAGAGCAACCGAGAAATAGTTTAAAACACAGAGAATTGCTTCCGGGAGATTCAGCTTCAATTACAGTGTAAAGGGGGTACATGGAGTCTGCACAGAGGAATTTAACCAAACACCACAACTAGGGGTGCGTCTACACTGCACCGTTATTTCGAGATAACTAGCGTTATTTCGAAATAACAATGTGCGCGTCTACACAGCCATTCCATTATTTTGAAATAATTTCGAAATGAGACAACGACTTCTGAAATCTGTAAACTTCATTCTACAAGGAATAATGTCTATTCCGAAATAGCTATTTCAAAACAAGGCATGTGTAGACACTCCACTGCTGCTTTTTTGAAATAACCCCTCACTAGGGCCGTTCTAAGTGATTCCTCCCCAGTGTTTCCTGGGGCTTTAAATCAAGATAGCACATCTACATTAGGGAAGATTGCCTTGGACTAATTTTGAGGCTTCCCCGCATGTAGGCATGCTATTTTGAAATAAGCTGTTTTGGAATAACTATTCTGGAATATCTTATTTCAAAATAAGCATGCAGTGTAGGCATACCCAAAGAAAATAACCTGATAACATCTAACTAAAACATTCCCTATCTACTCACATATCCGTAGTTCCCAGGTTCAGTCCCTTTCTAGGCATGGGTAGTCTTGCCTGGTTCAATTAATCTTTCTCCCCCAGCTCCTGGCTTGTACTCCTTCTAAAAAGCTGCAGCAGGCAGATTTCCTTTCAATTCAGATGTCAACACTTTCTTCCCATTGGTTCTCCTGGCTCCCTGCCAACACTTCCTGGATACCCACTGCTCTGGGTTTGACCCTTTAGTTACCTACTGCTGGGATGTTTAGAAAGGGGGTAGCACCCCTCTTATCCATCACAGGATGTAATGCTCAGGGAGGGAGGATGCTGCATCACATGTGACTCATCCAGTGTTGGCCCATATAGTGAATTGGAGGAGCAGAAATGTGCGTGCAATCTGCTATTTCAGCATGGCTGAGACCATCCTGCGTGATGAGGCGCTCTGTCCTGGAGCACAGATTGCATGATCGTATGAGTCCTGTTACCCCAATATCCTCTTGGCCTTTGACTTTTCTTGGTCAGTCAGCTGCAGAGGGCGGCAGGAGAAGGCACAGACCCAGCTCCCCTTTGGCGTCTCAAAGTGGGTCTAAGGCTAGGACCATAATTTGTGAGCAGAGCCACTGTTGGATGAATCCACAGCCACCAACAGCATCCATCACGGTAACCAGGGTGGGGTGGAGAGAACTCAGAGCCATCTGCTCCCTGTACTATGTCATGAGATTTTCTGAGCTGTCAGTTACATGAAGGCCCTGTACAGGCCAGTAGTCACTAGACCAGGGCTACTCAATATGCAGCCCGCAGCCTGTTTGTTTGCGGCCCACGGTGCAGTTTGGGTTTACGCGGGGCTCAACACGCGGCCGGCAGGTTGGAGCCAAAACAAAAAAGTAGTCACTGTAATGGTCTTCTGTTGAGAAGTTAAATTCCTGGACTGTCATTGCTCATTCCAAGTCCTGCCATATGGGTGGAAATTGGGTCAATGTTGCATTTTATTAATATCAGCAGAACTGACTTAAATGGGGCCTGTGTGTTGTGTAGTCTGGCCTTAATCTTTGTATTCATGACTGTCAGGGTGAAAGAAGCTATTTGCATATATTTGCATGTATATGAAACCACACTTAAGTTGCGGCCCTCGACATGTACTGTGAACATCAGGGCTCCCAAAATTGAGTAGCCCTGCACTGGACTTTTTCATCGTCGTCATCATCGTTACCACTGGTGCATGCGCCAGTCTTGCGCTCTCCATCAGAGGCTCGCTGTGAGAATGCGTGTGCGTGTGTGCTGCAGTTCCAGAGCACCTTACGCCCCTTTGGCGCTACAAAGAAACGCTGCAGCTCCTCTGGGTTGAGTGGCCATGTCTCTTGTTTTGCTGACAGCAGGGACTAGGGGAAGACAGGTGATTGGCAGAGAAGATAGGTAGCAATCAGAATGGCTGATAAGGGTGGGCTGAGAGCAGATGTCCATGCTTGTCAAGACTTTGGGGAGTGGTCTGGTGTTCTCTTCTCTGAAGACTGCTCCTCGTGGTGCTAACTCTTTTCTCAATCTCTCTCTCTCCATGTAGGAGATGAATTAAAATGCAGCACACAACATGCACAGAGGACAGGATCCATCATGCTCTGGAAAGATGTCTACATGGGCTGAGCAGAAGTGCAGCCTCTTCCAGCACATGGACCGGTAGGTGACCCAATATTCCTGAAGATCCAAAGTATCCTCACCAGATCTTGTGACCTCAATATCCTGGGATCGTTCCTGCCCTTTCTGTTGATATTTGCGTGTCTGGTCCTTTGCTTGGCAGCATTCTGCCCAAGCACTGGGAAGGTGATATGGCTAGGAACTACCACCCCATCCCTCTAGGGGCTTGGGGGCTCAGTACTACCCTTCAGTACATGGGTTAGAGATGAGTCTGCCTGGTGTATCCACTTGTGCCTTTCCAAGTCCTTCACCTAGCTGGGAGGATGGGCTGAGATGTTGAGAGATTCCTGGTAAACGTGAGGTAGTGAGTAAAGTGCTGTGGCCTTTTTTAACTGCTCAGAACATGGTCTGAAAGGGGCAGGCGCCTCCATTCACCACAAGGAAATTATGCCTGTTCTTTGACTAGCTGGCATGGTCTTGCTTTGGTGCAAACACGGCTCAAACCTGCATGTCCAGGGAGTGGGGTGTCGCTGGGGTTTTGGGACAAGTGGGGCTAGGAAACATGGTGGATGCCATTTTCCCATTAAAGTCAATGGTTGAGTTCCCATGAACTGCACGGGGGCAGAGCTAGCTGAGGACTGGGTGCTCCTGATAGTCCCACATTCAGTGCTGGGGGGATTAACGGGGGGAGTGGGCCTTGTGTTAACCAGATTAACCGGTTCCATGGAACTGCAGGTACATGGTCTCATTAAAATATCCCCCTTCCCTTGTCTGTTGTTCAGTCACATCAGGCAGCATCACTGAAGCGACACTTATCCAGTGGGGTGTTACCCTGTGTGAGTGAGCCTGTCCGAAACTGACCCGTCATTTCTGTCTCGCTGGTCTTGATTCTGCGTTGCTTGACATCACTGCACTTCAGGGGCTGTCTGACTTAGTTACCCTTATTTTCAGGGGTTTAGAGCTTGGATGTCAGTAATTCGTAGTGCCGGGCTTCAGCCTGGGATAACTACATCCTTTCCTTACGAAATGTCTTCCCATCCCCCCCCCCCCAAGAA